CTATTTTTCTCCAATTCCTCGATTCTGACCTTGTGTTCAGCATTCTCAGCATCACGCCTGGCATTTTCTTCAATAATCTGCCTCAACTTTGCATTCTCAGCCTCAAGCTCAGTAATACGCTGTCGCAATGATTCAACCTCGGATGTCATGATCGATAATATTCTATAAAAGATATGAAATATTCAATAGTCTGTTAGTACATATACATTATGCTAAGAAAAATATGTAGGTTATGAAGTCACTTCCTGAACTGAGATCAGGAAGTTTTGGCCACGTGTTTTTTCTGAACTCGGTTCAGGAAGTTTTGCCAAGAAATTTTTTATTAATAGGGGATTTACGACCATCATACAAGTAGGCACGATCCCTTTGGGATTAACTTATTCGTTGTCTCTCTCTTTCGAGGCAACGATAAATTTTTTTGGCATGCTTGAAGCAATAGCCCGTATAAGATAATGTAGGTTTATTGCATATTCTACATGGAGATTTTAGCATATTATTTGCACCTGATTTCCAGTAGAGCGAGCATCCTGCCAAGCGGATGCAAATACGGCCACAAACACTTCTATTTTTTTTAATATGGTGACAGGTAAGACGATCCATCTGAAGTATTTATATTGTAGAAATCCGATTTCAAATTATAGAAGAAAACCGAATTGAACTGTGGTGGAAAAAGTATATCATAAACAATTAATCATATATCACAGCATAAATCATCATCTATGGACGCGGAAAAAATAGTACTCAACATTCTAACCAGCCGATAGATCGACTCAAACGGTAAGTTATTCCAGAAGTTGATTCGCGAAGGCTACAAATATGCCGATAGACTTTCAGATTATTTAGAAGATATTGGAATTATGTATGTCGGTGAATTCGAATTAGACCCCTTAGCCGACTTCTACCACCCAGCTCTAATTCCGCGTTTATCTGTCTTAGCAATTAGAGTAGATATTCGTAAAAAATTTATTATTAGTGTGGAGTCTGCTGTTATGGGAGGAATGAGTCTATTTACTCTAGAAAAAAATAAACGGACTTCGCTCCAGAATCTAATCCAAATGAACTATTCCATTGATAACTTGAATACGTTAATAAGAATAACTTAGGAGCAAGAAGAGATGAAAACTTGGAGGAACGACGTGCTTATGAAATTCCTTCACCATTCGAACTTAGCTCCTTCGAAGCATAGACCGGGTGTATTATATGATGCATTTACCAAGACGAGTGTTTTAGGGCCAGAACATATATTAGCTCTAGCGCAAACATTTTGCTAAGGAGTGATTACGATATAAATAAATTGTTTATAGCCCTGGAATGGCAGTTCCATGACTATATATTTTTTCGCTTATCATATATACCTGCAAAATTCAATTTTTTTATTAATATATAAATTAATACAAATGTTCGGAACGTAGTTCGTGATACATGACGCCTATCTAATATACATGATTATTTTTTCTTGATTATCTCTTCTACACGGCGCTTCTTAATTGCGGGTTTCTCACTACCTAGTGCTCTATCCTTTAATAAACCTACTATAACCTCTAAAACCCTCTTCACATTCTTACGCAATTCTGTATCATCTTTGAGAGCGTCTTCTGTAAGTGAAATTCGATACTCAGTCCTGCTAGTACTATAGATGCCCTCGGTGCTATGAAGAATGAAGTACCAGTCAGTGCCAGTACTGACTATACCATAGACGTAGTCGTAGTCGGGATCGAATGCCTCATCCACCTTCCTTTTTTTCTTGTTCATATTTATATTCATCTGAGGGAAATAGAGAAGTAAGTTATCAATAGACCATGATCATCTTATAGCGAGCGGGCTAGTAGAATTTGCTATACTTACATCACAAGCACTTCGACATTGTAGTAAGTTTTGGCAGATACCTATAGTTGCCTTCAGTTATGCAAATTATTTCCTCCAGCATCTCGCTGATAATTTTCTTGATGGCATAGTCGACACAGCCTGTGTTTTCTTCACCAATTATATTGCCTAAGGTGTGATTTCCAAATCGCCGAGAATACTTACAGCCGTATATAAGATCGTTGAAATGTACTCACACCGCATAGCTTCATTACTATCTACAACTAGTCCCATATTTTTTATTCTATAGAGAATGTCGTCAATACATAGCTTAAATTCAGGGGCGCTTTCGTTGATGGTGTGGATGGCTATATTATGATATGTGAGCTCGAAATATATAAAAAAGAACTCCTTTAATCTGATATTACTTACGTGATATGAACTGTGAAATGCGAGTTATATCTCCGCTAACAATCCTATATTTCTCCAGCACATCACTTAGGTCTTTCAAACTCCTGTACGAAGAGAATGACTTTTAATTTACGCTTGCCAAGTTCTTTAGCGAAGTCAGCAAGGTCTGAAGTGGGTCCACCTGGCATTCCATAACTGTGAAGTTTTTCTTCGGTAATCTTAAGAAAGGCACAGCCAGTAATTCTCTCCTTTTCGATTATATCATAATTCTCCTGAACAAGCTCCAAGTCTTCCTTCTTACGCAAAAAATCTATAAGCTCTTTCGTTTTATATTTTTGAATCACCTCAGCTAACGTGGGAGCATTTTTTTCTTCTGTTGCAGTAGTGGAAGTGGAGGTAGAAGCGGGAGTATTAGTTTCAGAGACAGACATAGTATTACGTTTTTATAGGGATATTGGGCTTGGATAAAAAAAAATAGTGTTACATTCTGGAGTGAGATAAAAATTTATTTCTGTTCGGGAAAGAGAATACTGGGCGTTAATATAGGTTTTTATATAGCACAGCCATTGCATCATTACACGTGACCCATTTCTCATATACGTTCGATAAAATATACTTTATTTATGAAATAAAAGATATTGGTTGCCAGAGACAACTCTACAATACATAAAAATTTTGAATATTTCGCTTCACATGATACGAATAAAAATACTATTTTTTAACGAGAATATCTCCTAAATTTACTCTTGCTTTTCGATCATCTGTTACCAAAGATAATGATAGTAAGAATAACGCTCAATAAATTTCAGCTATAATGATATGCAAAAGCGCCTTTTGGCTAAATTACTCACACAGCTTCTTAATGTAGTCCTCAAGCTCCAATGCTGACCTCAATCCCATTCCAAATTCTCTAAATTCCTATCTGGTTAACTTGAGAAATAAATGACCGGTAATATTTTCCCCCTCAAGTCTCATAAAAAAGCCATCACCAAGTTCTATATGACTTAATTCAGAATCTTCTCGCAAAAAATTAATAAGTCTTTCTGTTTCGTATTCTTTTAACCTGT